GGGGGGGGGGGGCGCTCCGTGGGAGCCGTGAAGCCCACTGTGGGGAACTCTACACCAACAACCCGTGGGCCACAGCCCTGGGGGGCCAGGAGGTGCCCCAAGTGTGCCATGCCACCAAAGCGCATAAGGAGGGTTTCTGTGAGTTGTCTCGGAATCCCCCAGAGAGCAGAACACAGGGCAGGGCAGGGAGGAGGAGTTCAAACGCCAGCCTGCCCATGAGGTAGGCGATCTTTGCTTAGAGAATGCAGAAGCCCAGCCAGGGGCCTGTTCAAGCTAGGTTCCATTCCACATCAGCAAGGATGGCTTGGGAAGAACCAAGGCCCCCCTGCATCTCAAGCTTAGTGTCTAACAGGAGAGTAGATGCCTAGGGGGGCTGTTAGATGCATCAGCGAGTGAAGGAAGAAGGGAAGGAATAAAAGAATGAAGTGAACGAACGAACGTCTGGCTGATGCCCCCTGCTGCAGCTTGGGGCTGTCATTACTCCTCGGGCTTGCTCACATTCCAGGGCTCCAGCTTCCTCTCCCAGGAACAGACCCCTCTGTGACTTCCTTACGGGCATGCGCTCCGCCTCAACCAAGACAGAGACAGAGTAGAAGCAGCCAACGGTGAAGGTGTGTATCACCTGAGCGGCCGTGGACAGCCAAGAACTTGTGAGAAGCTGAGGGCCACAGCCACGAGGTGGACCTGGGGGCTGAGGGCCAGCCTGGTGGGGGCAGGGCTGCCACAGACTCTCGGGGAGCCCGCCCTGTTTCGCTCTGTGGGGATGAGGGGGAACACACGCTCTACCCCCATTTGAGAGTCGCTTCACCAGGGCCTGCTCAGCCCTGTGGGCAAAACATCCTGTGTAAAACCCCAGAGCCTGTGTAAAACGGGTTCATGAAATACAGGGCCCCAGAGAATGGTCCCAGGCCTCCCTGTCAGCAAAGACACTTCCAGCACCTCTCACACTGAACCTGGGGCCCTGGGCTGGGTCGGAGTGGAGTCCTGCTCTGGGCTTTGCTGCACTTGCCCAGACAGGGGCTCCAGGGGAAGCTGGTGTCCCGGATGTCCAAAAGAAATCTGTCCTGCATACCACCCCATGGATCATGAAAGAACATGGCTCTTGCCCTAAAACTGCAGAATGTCAGGACTTGGTGATTTTCTTATCCACCCTTCCTCATTTTTCATCTGTAGAAATTCAGGCTCAGAGAGACCAAGGCATACAAAGTGGATAGTGACAAAACTCGACTGCGTAGGTCTCCTGTCTCGCCGGCTAGTGCTGGCCCTGCCCCGCGTCATCGGTCTGACGCTCACAGCTCAGCCCACTTAAGAAGCGTCTGTACAGGGATGGCAATACGTGGCACACGTCACCACTCAGCAGCCCTGCGCCCGAAGCAGACATCACTAATCAATCAACGTCCCCTTTTCAGCTAAGACTGGATGTAGCCTCACTTCTCACTGCAATGCCAATCCATTCGGGTCATCATGTGAGATAAAACCAATCTGCCCTCCCAACTTTACAGGATCCTTACTGGCTACCAAACAGA